AAGGGACTATGGCTTTCTTCGGGATCTGCCGCAACAACCCTCATCAAGATACAAATGCTTCTGTTGACATGACCCAACAGCCCAAGTCAGTCTTAGAAGGAGAACAGAAAGAGTGATTTGGAGCACGGCTCAAGGGTGGACAAGACTGAGCACAGCCTGTCAAGGAGAGGGGTGGACCTGGATGATCTAGGTTTCTGGGGCAGACCGGGGACCTTAACAGGGGACAAGATGACATGGTCACTGAAGTTGACAGATGATAAAGGAGGAGGTGGGGAAAACATCTTTTACTCAACAAGTATTTTCTAATAATTTTCTAAATTATTATTAGAAAATAAATTAAATTCACCAGAAAGGGTGCTGTCCAGCTGTGTGTTAATCCTTCCTGCAGTTCTTTCTCCCAAGGCTGATAATGGTGAGGTATGATGACCCTAAAATGACCCCAAATGACTCACACCCTTAGACAATCTCCTCCCAGTAGGAGGAACCAGTGACTTGCTTCCAGCTTCTTGAATATGATGATGGTCTTGGGATGTCATTCCCATGGTTACTTAGATGACATAGGACTCCATCTTAGCAAAGAAGAGTGGGTGACACTCTCTTACTGGCCTTGAAGAAGTGGGGAGCTGGTGTCCTCTAGGACCTGAAGGTGGCACCCAGCTAAGAGCCAGCAAGGTCCTACAACTGGAAGGAACGGAATTCTTCCAACAGCCACTTCCGCTTGGAAGAGGACCTAAGCTTCAGAAAAGAATGCAGTCTTTCCCACACCTTGATTGCAGCCTGTGAGACCTCGAGAAGAAGACCCACCTAAGCCATACCTGGACTCCTGACCCAAGGAATCTGTGAGCTAACAAATGCTAAGTATGTGGTGATCTCATACACAGCAATAGGTAACTAGTATATGAGGTACCATATTTTAGTCCTAGAGACTCAGGCCATGAGAACTGGCCAAGCGCCATCTTCCCTTCCTACCTTGTCCGGGGTCTCACAAGCTATGGTTCCCAGGCCTCTCATTGCCATGTGACGCTTTTTAGCACTGGGGTCCCGGGCTCTTTCTGCCAAGATGAAAAACACATTCTTCAGAGGCTCCCGCTTCTGAAACCTCAGTTTCCAAGAGACCTGGGTGATGAGTCAAAATGTATTATTGATTTAAGAATGTTTAGAGTCATACCAAGCCCAGCCCCAATCCCTCGCTCTGAAGAAAATCCTTTGCTGCCCACTCAATTTCACGCCTTCTTTCTCCATCTAAAGATGTCTGATTTTTTGCTGGAAATATATTAGTTCAATTTACATAATGAAGAAACCGGTGGAGAGAGAGGAAAGGGGTAAAGAAAAATAAAAGCTGGTGTTGAGGCAGGAGGACCTCATGGGATGTCATTTGGGGGGATTATGGAGAGGGGGGCTCTCAGGCAGCTGAGAGTGTGACAGAGCTCAGGAGAAAGGGGGCTTTAGAAGAGTTAGCGTGAGCTGAGAATAGGGAGCTCTTCCACAGGACGAGGCTCACTGGATTCCTCCCATCTCGAAGGAAAGAGCTTCCTGGCCCCTTCCTGGCCCCTTCTTCCTCCTCCAGGTCTTCCCCATTTTTCTGCTCTACTTTGTATCTAAACACCTTGAAAGATGTGTCTATACTTCCTTTCTCCAAATTCCTCTCCTCCCTTCTCTCTCGAGCCTTCTGCACTCAGGTCGATGTCCTCTGTCCCCAGTATGGCTAAATCCGAGGGTCAATGCTCAGTGCTTAGCCTCTCAACAGCATTTGACCTATTAGCAAAACACATCTACAGACATTTCAGGACACCTGAAGGATGCCCCACCCCAGAATGCATGCATCTGAGCAATTAAGATTAGGAAAAGAAATGCATAAATAATGCAAATTGGGAAATGCTGTGGGGCTGATACAGAAACGTGGATTTCAAGTACTTAAACTTGAAGTAACTGCAGGGCAAGAGATGGATTATCCTCTGTAGTGAGCATATGAGCCCTGACACCAGGAGGCTCTGGTGTTCTGCACAGCACAGGACCTGGCGACATGTACCAGAGCCAGAACCAAAGCAATGCAAGATGCAAACAAGACCCAAGGACTGGATCCGCAGCCCTATTGGGTGTTTGGGTGATTACCAGTCTCATCATTATTTTTGAATATTCATTGCAGTTCAGTCTATATTTTTATTACAATTTCATAGCAAGCTAAATGTACCCCAACTCATCTTCTTGTTATTCTATAAACATCCTCTCCATGTTAAAAGAACTGTCATCGAACTTCTTTTCAGAAGAAGGAGCCTCAGAGGAGTGTGCTCAAGGCAGAACAGGGAAGCACACATTATAAAGCAGTTACTGGGAAGGGACATTCATTAGTAATATTTTGTGTCAAACCTTGGAAAAGAGAAACATCATCGATGTCCTTTTCTTCTTGGGCTGGGTGATGGGGATAGAAAGGGGCTGGCCCAGGATTCTTCTCTGTGTTCGGTCCATGGAACTAAAAAAAAAAAAAGCAAAACCATCACATGAGCTATAAACCTTCTTGGAAGCCTCATTATCATCAAGCATGTTATATACCAAGCACTGTGCCAGGTATAAAAAAGCACCATTTCTGAGGCCTCTCCTTAGGAACCTGTCACCTTGGTGAGGAGATGGAATAGTCACATAAAAAGATAAAGAGCAATTCCAGGCACCTTGGAAGGAATCACAGCACAGGGGTCAAGACAGCTGGCCCTGGTTCCTGTTCCATCTACAATCATCTTGTAGCAGAATCACCGAAGAAATTAAATACAGATTCTGGACCCCACCCACAGAGAATTGAAGTAAAAAGTAGCCTGAAATTTTGGATTTTTTTAAAGCTCCCCCAAGAATATAAATTGGTACTGTACTTTAGAGGAGATTTTTATATTCTCTCTTACAATTTCAAAATACACATATCTTTCAGCAATTTTTCCAGCAGATCCATTGGCACATCATATGCTCGAGGATGTACACAGAAGATAGACATCGTAGCTTTGTAATGAACAATATAATGTCCTTAAATAGTTGTAATATAAATAAATCACACACATATATGTTAGAACTATCCAACTTCAGGACGACTGCTATGCAGCCATTAAAAAAGAATATTGGACAGATCAAAGTGTGCTAAAATGATCTCCAAAATATACTGATGAGTGGAAAGTGCAAATTAGTGTATAAGTGTGCTACTATTTGTGTAAACACAAAAATGAAGGAGATAAATCTATATGTACAGTTATACTTGCATATGCATAGAACAGGGAAGAATACCCAAGAAACTTTAACAAAAATTGCCTTTTGGGTGGAAATCTGAGCAACTGAGGTGGGAGGAAGACTTACTTTTTTTACACTTTTTAAAAAATATATATCCAGTTTTTACCACATAATTTTTATCATGTAATATCCAGTAATTTTACCACATGTATATGTTATTTAAACTATATGTTACAAGTAAACAACTCTCAAAGTGATTCTGAACTTCGGCCTGATTTGAGGTCCACCAGTATACATCAGTACTTCTTAGACTTTAATGTTCACTCAGATCATCAGAAGATCTTGTTAAAATGCAGATTCAGATTCAATGGGTCCAGAGTAGGGGCTCCCGATTCTGCCTTTCCGATGGCTCCCAGGGGACACCTGCTGGTATGCGGGTGTAAAGAATCAGAGAGGACCGTGTCTGGAACAGCTGGTAGAGCCCACACACAGCGCACGGGAGAACCTTCCAGGAGAGGCGGAAGTGTTTTTGACACGCTGAAATTCCAGTGGGGTTCCACGAACAGGCACTGAGTCTCGTGGTAGTAGTAGTGATAACAATGAAAATAGGAGAGTGGTCAAAGATAAGGCTCCAGGAAGTAAAGGCCAGCTCTGAGGGACTTTGACCACTCGCGAGTTTAGTTGCAATTGTTGTTTTGTAGATAAAAGTGAACCATTAATCTTTTTTAATTGAGGTGAAATCCACATCACACACAATTAACTATTTTAAATATTGTACGACCCCTACCTCTATTTAGTCCTAAACTTTCTCATCACCCCACAAGGAAACCCCATACCCTTTAAGGAGTTACTCCCCATTCTGCCCTCCCCCCAGCCCCTGACAGCTATTAATCTGTCTCTGTGAATTGACCTATTCTAAATATTCTATGTAAATGGAATCATTCAAAATTGTGTCCTTTCATGTCTCGTTCTTTTCTCTGCTCATAATGTCTTTGAGGTTCATCCGCGTTTGGAGCATGCATTGGTACTTCATTCCTTTTTATGCCCGGATAATATTCCATTATATGGATATACCACCCTTGTTCATCCATTCACCTGCTGATAGACACTCGAGTTGTTTTCGCTTGCTGGGTGTTATGGGTAGAGCTGCTATGAACACTGGTGGACAAGTATTTCTTTGAGTATCTACTTTCAGTTCTTTTGGGAATGTACCTCGGTGCAGAATAACTGAGTCATATGGTAATTCTATGTTTATCTTTTTGAGGAATCACCAAACTGTTTTCTACAGTGAATGTACCATTTTACATTTCCACCAACAGTGTGCCAGAATTCCAGTTTCTCCACATCCCCACATTGTTATTTTCTAGTTTTTAAAATTATTATTACATCCATCCGAGTGGATGTGTAGTGATGTGTCATTGTGGGTTTGATTAGCATTTCCCCAATAGCAGCTTTTTGTGCACTTGTTGGTAATTTGTATATCTTGAAATATCTATTTAAATCTTTTGTTCATTTTATAATTGGATTGTTTATCTTTTTGAGTTGTAGAGTTCTTTATGTATTCCGGTTACTAAATCTTTATCAGATATATGGTTTTAAATATTTTCCCCATTCTGTAGGTTGTCTTTTCACTTTCTTAATAATATCTTTGGATGCACGGTAGTTCTGAATTTTGACGCAGTCTAGTTTATTGATTTTCAGTGTTGGTGCTCATGCTTTTAGTGTTATACCTAAAAATCCATTGCCAAATCTAGATCATAAAAATTTACTCCTTTGTTTTCTTCTAACATTTTTATAGTTTTAGTTATATTTTGGTTGTTGATCCATTTTGAGTCATCTTTTGCATACAGTGTGTGTTACCAGACCAACTTCATCCAAACCATTGACTTTTATTTGTTTTGGTTTTGTTTTTATTTTATTTTATTTTATTTTTAAGTAGGAGAAATGACAGGCAAGTAGCTGCAGTGATTCTCAACCCTGGCTGCTTTAAGGTCACCCAAGACCACGTCTGTGCCCCAGACCACATCTATCCTTGTCTCTAGAGGTGGGCCCAGGCAGCAATAATGTCTAAAGCTCATCAAGTAATCCCAGTGGGCAGTCACTGAACTAGAGTACTAGTGACCGACCACTTTGGTTTGCCCAGGCCTGAGGGGTTTCCTGGGACATGGAATTTTCAGTTCTAAGATTGGGAAAGTCCAAGACAAGCAGGGACAAGCTGGCCATCCTATTGATTGTTCTTGAGACTTAAACTTATTTAAATGCAGGCAGTGGATAGAACCCAACCCTGTTAAACAGCTGTGCTTTGGCACATTGGACTGTTTGACCTGGAGGCGTATGGGGATTTGGCCTCTTCACTATCTTTGCCCCATGTGGTTTTGGTAATGCTCCCTTGGTCAGAAGACACTGGAGAAGTGCATGAAAATAAATCCTCACCCATAGCGCCCACTCTCTATTTCTTCTTCATCTCTGGCCAGCAGACTTCCCCCAACCACTGCAATGAGGGACCTAAATTAAAACCCAGAAAACTGCACCCCTACGAATCAGCCAGATTTTTTTTTCAGTTTGAGTAAAGGCCTTCTCACATGCATTACATGAAGCCAGAGATTCTCACACACGAGCATGCAGTGGAATCACATGGAGGCCTTGTTAAAACACAGGTGCCCAGACTCGACCCCCAAAGTTCTGTACATCTGAAACGGGGCCTCACATGTGCATTTCTAACAAGCTCTCAGCTGCTGCTGGTCAGGGCCACACTTGGAGAGTCACAGTAATACCATGCCAATGCTTTCCAGAATAAAGGAATTTCAAAATTCACAGAGGCAAAACACATGGACACACACACACACACACACACACACACACACACACACACACCCCACCTGCTCGGAGGTTTCTTTCCTGGGTTTTCTGCACACAGTCTGTTTCAACAGAACCTGCCGCTTCTCAGGCCGAACGCTCTGGGTCCAAGCTGACCGTGCCTAACAATGTGTATAGGGAGTTTAAAAGAAGCAAAGCTCCCTCAAGCTGAGGGCCCTTCGCCAAGGAAGGCACAGGCCTCATTGTAAAACAGCTGGTGTCTCTGTCCTGAAGCATAAGACGGTCAGCTTGACGCTTCTTTCCATTGGGAGGAAAGCACCCCTGGTTCTCTGTTCTTTACACTTGACTTCTCTTGCAGGATCAGCAAAGCCGCTGAGGGCTGCAGCCAGCCATCTAAGACAGCCTTCCAGGCCTCAGAAGCCAAGTACTCAGGCTTGTCACTTTGTAATGACACGTCTAGAATTTAAAGTCTTGGAGGCTCTCGAGCAGAGAAAAGTAAATGAGAGCTGAGTGCTCTGTGTGGAAAATAGAGCAGGTGGTCTAGAGACACACAGGGCTTCACCTCTTGCTCACCACCTCTGCTAGCAAACCCCTCCTCGCCTCCCCACTTCCCCATCGCAAGATAAACTCTGTAATCTAGTTCGATCTCACAGGTTGTCAGGCTCATCTCAATATTGAGTGCAGGAAAAGCATTTCTCATAGTTGGCTGGACCTCCTACATCTGAATCCTCTGGAGTGCTCGTTATAAAAAAACTCCAGGCCTGTCCCATGATTATTGGATCTGAATCAGAGGGAGCATACGGCCTGAACACTGCATGTTTTTACAAGGTGCCTGGTGACGCTACATACACGCTGGCATATAAGAACCTCTGCACTGGAAATGAGATCACCCCAGAACTGACAAACACTATTAACCTGAGGCCATGCATCAGGAGAGGCCCCGAAGCCTGAGGAGTAGCTGGGGCCCACGGTAAGCCAGGGGAGGGCATCGGTGTCTACAGATAACAAGAGATTGAAGGCATATATTTGTGAAGCACACTGAATTTCACTTTCAAAATAAAATGAAAATCCCATCGAGCTGTACAGGCATGGTTCATGCGCTCTTCTTGGGTACTATTCTTAAATTGAAAGCTTCCTTAAAAAATAAAGTAAGTTAATTCGGGGTCCCAAGACCATCACCTGGAGCTTTGTGTCTCTTGAGTTTGCAGCTTCTTAAAGGACTCCTGCCACCCACCTGCCCTCCCTCCAGCCTGCAGTGTCCTCCCTCCTCCTTTGCAACAACTGAAGTCCGTCAGATCCAACTCAAGGAAAGAAAAAGATATATTCCATCTGTCACAATACAGGATCTCAAAGGGAAACATTTTAAGTAAACTATGAATAAACACGGCACGCGGATTCTAAGATTTCTTAGGTGTTCTAACTGCACCTCACCCCCAAACAGCTGTTCTTTGCTATGAGAATTAATTTTTTTCTAGTGGGTCGCTCTGGTCATCACAGGTGTTCTAGTCTAGTGAGGCCATGGCTGGGAGGTCACCTGGCCACCTTGAAGCCAAAAGCTTGGTCCTGCTTGTAGTTTCACACATCCCTGTGCATGTTCTATAACAAATTCTTCTTCCTGTGGGAAGTGCTTCTGAGTGTGCCAGTGCCCTGTCCCC